TTTTTTCATGTTAAACCCTCCAGCTTTTGTAACCCCTTCCCCCTCCCTTCTCACTTCCCATCCCCATCAAAGTCTGGTCTATTGGTGTATAAACCACCTTTCTTCTTCTTTGTTGTGCCTTATAATCATGGTGATATCAAGTATTTATTTTCGTAAGACTGATCATTGTAATGTTCTCTACTTTTGTCCATATCTTGTGGTGTTTAAGAGAGTTATCATTGTTTTTTTTTGAAGTATAAAATTCCATAGTATGAATGTACCAGAGCTTGCTTATCCATTCCACTATAATTAATCTTTTTGGTTGTTTCCATGTTTTTGTTATTGTGGAGATGGCTGCAATAAACTTAGGTGTGCATATGTCTGTTCATGTTCTGTTCTTTATTTCCTTTTCTTTTTTAAACCACATGACTGCTGACAGAAAGGATCCCTATGAAGTTGTGGGTTTTGCCTTGGGCTGCTAACTGCAAGATCAATGATTCAACATCCACCTGCACCCCCCAACCCCCATCACTGCTCTGAGGGAGAAAGATGAGATATGTAGAACCTCATTTCAAACTGTATACTGTTTAATTCATTTTCCTTTTAAAAATTCATTTTATTGGGGCTCTCACAGCTCTTATAACATTCCATACATCAATCGTATCAAGCATATTTGTACATATATTGCCACCATTATTTTCTAAACATTTACTTTCTAGTTGAGCCTGTGGTATCAGCTCCTCTTTTTTTCCCTCCCTCCCCTCTTCGTGACCCCTTGATAAATTATAAATTATTATTGTTTCATATCTTACACCAACCCCTGTCTCTCTTTACTACATTTCTGTTGTTCCTCATTGCAATCAGTTCCACTTTTCTCACTCCTCCCTCTCCCCCTACCCTTTTGGTATCGCTACTCCCATTTCTGTTTCTGAGGGGTTTGTCTGACCTGGATGCCGTGTGTTCTGAACTCTTATCTGTACCAGTGTACATGCTCCAGTCTAGCCAGAAATGAAAGGCAGGACTGGGGTCATGATAGTGGGGTTGAGGGTGAAGAATCCTCAAAGAATCAGGGGAATATTGTGTGTTTCATTGGTGCTATACTGTGCCTGGTTGACTCATGCCTTCCTTGTGACCCTTGTATAGGGGAATGTCCTATTGTCTGCAGATGAGTTTTACATCTCTGCTCCGACCTCCCTCATTCTTAACAATATGTTTTTGTTGTTGTATTTTGGGTCTTCTGGTGCCTGTTACCTGATTCTGCCGACATCTCATGATAGCACAGGCTGGTGTGCTTTGTCCATGTGGGCTTGTTGCTTCTCTGCTAGATGGCTGCTTATTTTACTTCAAGCCTTTAAGATCCCCAGACATGATATCTTCTGATAGCTGGCACCATCAGCTGTCTTCACCACATTTGTTTACGCATCCATTCTAACTTCAGTGATCGTTCCGGGAGGGTGAGCATCACAGAATGTCAGGTTTTTAGAACAAAA